GGATGGGGTCTGCGCTGCCCCCTGTGGCCGCAGAGGCGGGAGAGGGGCTGGCCCGGGGGACCCGATGGGCGGCGGGGAGGGGTGCAGGAGGCCTTGGCAGTTGTTTGTTTCAACAAGTGCGGGCAGGTCGGGGGAGTGGCCTGCGTGGTGAGGGAGCTGGATGGTCCATGGATACACCTGCACCCCGAACCCAGGAGAGCAGGGCACCCACACCCGTGGCCAGGCAGTGAGCACCTGGTCGTGGGGAAGGAAGGCTTCCCTGGAGGCGAGAGAACCTGGAAGGCGCCCAGAGGCCGGGATCCGGGCACCCACACTCCCTTCCTCCTCTGGGTCTCTTTCCACTTCTGTGCAGCATTTCTCACGGTTTCGAACTCGGCCACTTCTCTCTGTCCTGGGGGTCCTCCCTGCCCCCCATGGAGGGCATTTTGTCACCCCAGTTCTAATAGTTTGCAGCACCGTATCCTGGGGTGCAGGGCTCCCGCGGGAGTCAGGCCCGGGGTGACAGGGTTTGTGTTGATGCTGCTGCTTCCCGGACCCTCTGTGGCTGTGGCCCTGGCGCTGGATGTGGGGAGTGAGCAGTGGGAGTCGGTGGCAGAGAGGAAGGCAGGCGAGAGCGCAGGTCTGCGGAGCGTGCCCAGCACACGCCCGGCCTTGGGGCGCTGAGTGAACGCAGTGCTCCAGGTACCGAGGTCCATTTTCCAGAACCGTTCTGTTCTGGATGCTGGGTCGGGGCATATGGGTGTCGGGCTGTGCTGGGCCCCGGTCCCACCTGCAGGGTGACCGCCGACCTCCGACCTCCGACCTCCGTGCTGCTGGGCCTTCCCCTTCTCTGGTCGCTTCTCGGGAGAAGGGGCTTCGGGCCGAACCTCTGGGTGGGACCCTCGCCAGCGGCCCGTCAGGTCTGGAAGGGGACAGTGCGGCCAAAACACCGAGTTTTTAAAGTTTCACGTTCACCACGTTGACTAGACCTCAGAGTCATGTCTTCAGTAAACGTTTGAGCTCTCTGTGTCTGGCGTGGGGCGTTCAGCGGTGAGCAGAGGGAACGTCTGCCCTCTTAGAGGTGACTGTCCCGGGAGACGGGCAGTGAGCAGACAGTTCCCTGCAAGTGTAAAAAACATGGGTGCCGTGGGAAAGGCCAGGGCACCGTGTGGGACGGGCCCGGGGGCTGCCGCGGGCGCCTGAGCCAGGACGAGGGGGAGGGGGAGGGGGTTCCACGGAG